GCCGCCGCCCCAGGCGCCGCCGCGCCGGCCCCGAGGCTCTGAGGTTACTCGCGCGCCCCCTCCGGTGAGCGTGTCCTCGATATTTAGGGTGGGGGATGCTCTTACTAGAGAACCAACCCCATCCTTGGCGGTGCTACGACAAGAGTTAGGGGGTTCTGGGCTGCTTGGCTGTTAGGTGCCCCCTCCCCTTCGACTTTCCCAGAATGCACCGGGGGGTCATTTGGGTCCTCCCTGACCTTGGCCCCGCCCTGGGCCCCTGTCCTGGGAGCTGAGGATGGGAAATATTGTGGATGCTAAGGGGGAGAAGGGTGATTAAAGGACTAGAGTTATGGGAGTGGATTGATGAAGTAGTCGTGAAAGACTCGAGGTTGCTAAGGGGGTAGTAAAAACCCTTGCGACTGTGTAAACCTTCAGGCCCAGTGAATGCTTATGGAAGGGGGTTTCAGGGCCATGAGGGACGTGAGGATGTAAAACGGGGTTGTGTGTAAGGGCAGTTCCAGAACATACTAGTGGAGGCCAGGGCCGCAAAGAAGCCCAGTGTAAATGGAGAAATGATGGTAGAAATGCCATAAGGTGTGCCAATAGAATCGGGGTTCTGAGGCCCAGTGTGTGGTGATGAGGGTCAGGAGCGTGTTAATATTGTGTTTGTCCACGGGGTTAGGGATGGCAGCTTTTCTGGATCCGGGGTGTGTTCGTGGAGGTAGTTGAGTGTGTGCTGATCAGGGTGGGTCATGGTGGAAAGGGTATATAGATGTTGTACTAAAGCTCTAGGTAGTGTGGAACCCAGTATATGCCAGTACAGGCAGAACTGTTGAAGGACCCGAGGGTGTGTGTAATGGAGCAGAGTGTTGGAAGGCCTGTACTCCTGGCTACCAGAAGAGAGCATACATATCTATGGGAGAGTGCCAGTAAATGAAGTATAAAGAGCTCAGCACAGCAAGACTCAAGGTGAAGTGTGAAGGCAGAGAATGTGACTTTCCAGAAAGTGTGGGGTAATACTATATATGAAGTTCTAGAGCAGTAGTTCTCAACCTGTGGGTCACGACCCCTTTGGGGTCACATATCAGAATGCTACATATCAGATATCTGCATTACAGTTCACAACAGTAGCAAAATTACAGCTATGAAGTAGTAATGAAAATACTAATTAAGCAGTAATTTGAGGTTGGAAGTCACAACATGAGGAACTTTTTCTATTAAAGGGTCACAGCATTAGGAAGGTTGAGAACCACTGCCCTTGAGGCTGTTACTGTGACTTTAAAACCATACAGACACTTAAGGTATGCTTTTGGGAGAAGAAAGCATGTAGTAAAATAATGTGATGAACATCAAAACCCAGTGAATACTGTGTTCTTCCTGTCCGTGGGCCACTGAAGTGAGCTGATTCAGGGAGTTCTACAGGGATAGAGTTTGGGGAATGGGAATCTAGTGTGTGGTGGGAGGAATAGAGCTGTGAAGGAAATCGACTGTGAACCAAAGGGTTAATAGTGTGGAGTGGTATTGAAGCAGGGGGGCCTGGAATAAGTAAGTGTGCCAAAGTGAATTGACACCAAAGAACTGGTGTATGTTAATGGGGGTCAGGGTTAAATAGAGGAACTGTAAATGAGGGTCAGTCTCAAGGTATACTAATAGGGAATCAGGACTCCCTGAGGCCCAGTATGTGCTAGCAAGGGTCAAGATAGAGTGAAGATTCAGTTTGTGCTGAGGGGAGGGACAGTGTAGTGGAAGTACGGGACAGAAAGTGTGTTATGATGTACACAACTGTGAAAGTAAGGGCTAGAGAGATGGTTCAGCTATTAAGAGCTTTTACTACTTTTCCAGAGGACCTCAGTTCAGATTCCAGCATGCACATCAAGAGGCTCACAACTGTGAAGGAGCCTAAGTGTGAGCAAAATTGGTCAGGAATTGTACAAGATTCACTGTGTACTGATGTGACTCAGAGCCATGTGAATGTCCAGAGAATGCTAATTTGGGTCAGCTCTAGAACACCTTGAGTGCATGTTAATGAGGATCAGAATCCAGAGGAGACACTATGTTATTGGGGTAGGACAGTGCTACAGAGAGGCTAACAAGTATCTAGGCTAGGAAGGGACTCAGAATGTGGTAGAATGTGGTGGTGACAGGAGTTGTTTAAAGGGGACAAATACAAGCGAACAATTTTGAGTGCTGAAGGGAGTTAGAGGTGAAAAGAGAAATCATGAGTGTTTTAGAAGTTAAGATGTAGTGAGGGCCTATAGAGGTCAGGGCACAATGGAACATGTTGCCATATTAGAGTATGGCAACTGTATGCTCAGTGGTTGGAGTTAGTGTGTCCTTGCTATAAAAGTAGCCTGGGGACGGGTGAGTGTGTGTTTAAGGGGGTACCAAGAAGAACAAATACCATATAGTTGTGGAATTCTAAGTCCTGATTCTTATTCCTTCACTTATTCTGAAGTCTATAAGCTCAGAAAACTGAAATTATGGTATTTAAGTTTTGCAGCTCATAAATGTTTAAGTGTATCTGTTTTTAGGGGTCTGCTCCCTCAAATGTTGTATAACTGTCTTAAAATCCTCCAAAAGATGAATTCTGGAAAATGACCAGTCATTGAGAGTTCCAGTTAGAGGTCATGAATTAATTCATAACTCCCTCTCTAGCCCTCATTTTCCTAACCCCTTACCTTATTCCTGTCACCACACACAAAATAACTGAGTAGGAGTGTCATATGGGGACAAAGGGAGTCTTTGGCTGCTTCTTGGGCCTTAGATCCAGTGTTCAGTCTCTAAGGTAAGGATTTTATGGTATTCTGGGTTCTTTGTGGGTGGATCTTACCCTTATCTATCTGAGGTTTCTTCTGCTAGGTTTGGCTTTGCCTCACCTTCTAGAGGTGGTAGTCAGAAATGGGAGGGGAACTGCTGTGGTAAGTAAGTACTTTGTTTCAAGGTAACAGATAAACTATTTCTCTTCTTGAATCCATCCCTGGCCTTATCCTCAACCTCCTATCTAGCTCTGCTTCCCTTGGGCCTTGGGCCATCTTCAAGCCCTGCTGTGAGTACAGATGGTTCCTGAACCAGGTCTTTCCCCCCTCCTTGCTGATCCAGGAGGAAGCAGGGGAATGCCGACCTAAACCTTTTGGTGGCCCTATTCCCTTCAGCAGCCCATCTAGGTCATCTTCCTGTCAATTCTAGCATCCCTTTGCCTTCTTTGGGGTAGTCTGTAAATGTCTGGGACTTACCTCAATAAAAGTTGGTCCTAAGCTCTCGGCCCCTTTATTCACTGCTTCTTTATGTACTTTTTGAGTTTCTACTCAGTGTCAGTCACTATTCCAGGTTCTTAGGATATAGCCATGACCTCAACATATAGAAATTACCCTGGTGGAGGAGTAGACCTTCTAGTAGCAGTGGTCAGAAGACAGTAAAAAGAAAAGAAACCAATAAGTAGATGATATTATTTCTTTTTTTTTCCTACACAACATTTCTTGAAGATGATTATTATTTCTGAGGTGGTGGTGAGAGCTAGGGGACACATTGGCAAGGTGAGGGAGCTCAAGATGACTGAGACTTTAAATAAGATAACTCATGAAAGCCTCATGAAAAAGATGATATTTGAACAATGGGCTGTAGAGGACTGGGAGTGAGATGTTTTACAGTCTGTGAAACAACCAGTGTACAGATCCTGAGGTATAAACTGCTGGGAGTGGTACAGAACCACAACTAGGAATGATCAAGGAAGAGGTGAGACCAGATAAGTAATAGGAATGAATGAGATATATATAAGACATGGGCCACAGTGAGGACTGCTGTGTTTATTTGGGATGATAAGGAAGATCTGGTATATATTCTCTAGGAGAAAAGAAATATGACCTGGCTTTGTAAAAATCTGGGTTTGGAACCTGTCTAACAGCCATGAGGATAACTGGTGTGTGCTGAGACATACCCCCACCACAACTCCAGTGGTTGGGCCTCAGCAGCCCTCCCCCCATTTGGATAGAGAAGTGGGGAGATCCATTAGTCACCATGACAGTGGTTGCTGGGGAAGGAGGGAGGGTCCCTGTGGGCCACAGAGAGCTTTCTGCCTGGCAGTTGGGGGCAATGTGGGGCTGGTGCCAGCAAAACATGCCAGTCTATGGGCGTACCCAGGACCTTGACACTAGTCCTTGGGTTCTAACTGAACCCCTTGTCCCAGCTGTGGCTGCGTCTGTCACTACGGCTGCACCTGAAGATAGCTGCTGTGGAGTCCTATGTTCCCACAGTGAGACTATTGCCCTAGAGACCAACAATCTACTGAGTGGACCCTTGCCCTCAGCCAGCCACCCAAGTCTTAGTACCCAGGTAGACTACTTAGGGGTGGTCTAACAATGACAAAGGACCCTATCCATGCCAAATTTTCAAGAATCTGTAGTGATTGAGTGGGCACTGACATGTTCTTGGTTGTTGTAGTCTTTCAGGGGCCCGTGATAGTCAAGAAGATGCTAATGTGATCCCCATTTCTATTCCTATCTCCTGTCCAGGTTGCCATGGATCGGATGAAGAAGATCAAACGGCAGCTGTCAATGACACTCCGAGGGGGCCGAGGCATAGACAAGACCAATGGTGCCGCTGAGCAGATAGGCCTGGATGAGAGTGGTGGAGGTGGTGGCAGTGACCTTGGAGAGGCCCCTATCCGTGTTGCCCCTGGGGAACTTCGCTCTGGTCGGGGCCCACTCAGCTCTGCACCAGGTGGATCCACTTTGATCATTCTCTCTCCTTGCTCCCAGATACTTCCAGTGTGTTCCTTAGATTTGTTTTTGTTTTCCTTTTTTTCATTTTCTCCTCCTCTCCTGTCATCCATTTCTAACACTCTTTCTGTACCTCCTTCTTTGACTTTATACTCAGGCCCAAGGAGGAGGAATGGTACCTAGCCTATTGTAGCTACTCCAAGGCTGTCTCTGCCTTTTTCCTGAACTGTGGTGGCCCTGTCAGTCTCGTTGGGTCTGTCTTTCCCTGGGTCTACCTTCTCAGGGCTCTTGGCAATGCCTATCACCACTAGCCTTCTGACCTATGGGCAGCTACCATCATCTTTGATGGAGTACTCTACTAGATGACCATGCCCCTTCTGTATCTATCCTGGGCCTACCTGGATATCCTAGTCTGCTCTAGGGACCATGTACATACACTTGGATATAATGAAGGAGTGTATTATATTGGGGGTGGGAGGGAGTATTCTTGACTCCAGTGGTCTTACTTTTCCCTCTCTCCACCACCAGAGATTGTATATGAGGACATGAAGATGGGGTCTGATGGGGAGAGTGACCAGGCTTCAGCCACATCCTCAGATGAGGTGCAATCTCCAGTGAGAGTACGCATGCGCAGCCACCCACCTCGCAAGATCTCCACTGAGGTGCTTGATCCCTGTCTCACTGATGGAAGAGTTGAAGGATGGGGTTGTGTTTGGGGAGGTGGAGCTTATGATCATGCTTCTCTTTTATCTTGGCTGCTAGGACATCAACAAACGCCTGTCACTACCAGCTGACATCCGGCTGCCTGAGGGCTACCTTGAGAAGCTGACCCTCAATAGTCCCATTTTTGACAAGCCTCTTAGCCGGCGCCTCCGCCGTGTCAGCCTGGTAAGCATCTTTTTATTTTCTTTTTATTTTCTTTTTTTTTTTTTTTTGTCTACCACCTATCCCACTCTCCCAGAGCCCTTCTCCAACCCTGCTTCAGCATACCTCCTCTACCCCCACAGTCTGAGATTGGCTTTGGAAAACTGGAGACCTATATCAAGCTGGACAAGCTGGGTGAGGTGAGACTGTCAAAAGAACCATGGTGAGGATGGGGGTCAGTATGAACTCCATGCAATCTCATTGCACCTCTGCTGTTGTACTTTCTCGCATTCCAGGGTACCTATGCCACTGTCTATAAAGGCAAAAGCAAGCTTACAGACAACCTTGTGGCACTCAAGGAGATCAGACTGGAACACGAAGAAGGGGCACCCTGCACTGCTATCCGGGAAGGTACAGACCCCGTCTTAGACTTTCTTGACTCCATGGCACACACAGTCTCTATGATGAGTGAGGACAGAGACTGGGGTTTTTTTGGACTGTCTCTCCTCACCTGTGCAACATTGTGGCCTTCATGAGAATACATACCATCTACATTCCCAGGTAACAATCAAGAGAATTAGGGATCTAAATGGATCAAGGAAGGTCAATTAATTGCAAATTATGGTGTTTGTTTTCATTCTTCGAGCACTCCTTAAAGTGTTAGAAAGTCACATGGAATAGATTTGAATTACACACAAAAAAAGGTACAAATTCCAGCCTCTGAACTTAGGTTTGAACAAGGCCTCTTCCCAGAGAGCAAAAGCAGATTGTAAAAATGTGATGTCACAGGCCGGGCGGTGGTGGCACACGCCTTTAATCCCAGCACTTAGGAGGCAGAGGCAGGCTGATCTCTGTGAGTTTGAGGCCAGCCTGGTATACAAGAACTAGTTCTAGGACAGACACCAGAGCTACAGAGAAATCTTGTTTCGAAAAACCGAAAAAAAAATATGGTGTCACATGAAGTTGGGCCTATAGTCTCATGCTCTTGCTTAATACTCTTGTCTAAACTTTACTTTCTACACTTGGACCATTGAGACACACCTACTTCTTAGCATATCATAGATCAGAGCTAGATGCTCTGAGATATTACTTTAAACTGCACAGGGAAAGAAGGAAACCCTTACGCTTATATCTGTCTGGTTCTTGTCTTTATTTTGAAGATGGGGCTCTCACTCTTGCTCTATTTTGACCCATACTTTCTACAGTGTCCCTGCTGAAGGACCTCAAGCATGCTAACATCGTCACACTACATGACATTATCCACACAGAGAAGTCCCTCACCCTGGTCTTTGAATACTTGGTAAGGTTGGATAACAGATAGGCCCCAGGGAGAAGGGGAAATGACCAGGGGACATAGTATGTGACTCTTGTTCCTGTACTACCTCTTTTGTCCTCAGGACAAGGACCTGAAGCAGTACCTGGATGACTGTGGGAATGTCATCAACATGCACAATGTGAAAGTGGGTGTGGGACAGAAAGCAGGGTTAGGAGGGATCCCCAACTTACCCACTCATTGTACAGATCTCCCAGAAACAGCCTTTTCCTGTATGATGTTTTTGCTGGGAGATCTTTGGGGGTATTAGGAGTCTGTCATCTTTTGTATGATAAGAGGTTGGACTCAGTGTCTGTTGGGAGGGATCAGTGCCTGCCTGCTGCCAGGGGATGGGCTTGTGGGTATCTTTTGACTTCTGCCTGCCATTCCTGGGTCTACAGCTGTTCCTGTTCCAGTTGCTCCGAGGCCTGGCCTACTGCCATAGGCAGAAGGTGCTACACCGAGACCTCAAGCCCCAGAACCTACTCATCAACGAGAGGGGAGAGCTCAAACTGGCAGACTTTGGTACCACCAGCCCCCCTTCCTGCTGACTCCTCAGCCTTATTTTCTAAGCAACTCAACTTCCTTATGACCAACAAGCCTCATGACCAACCAGCCTCATTCTCCTCCAGCCTCTCCAAACTTTGATTATGACAGGCATTCTTAGTCCCAGTTGTTCTCTGGTCCAATCTTTGCCCACAGCTGCCTCATTCAGCTGCTTCTTCTTTTTCCCCTCTCCCAGGCCTGGCACGTGCCAAGTCAATTCCTACTAAAACATACTCCAACGAAGTGGTGACACTGTGGTACCGGCCCCCCGACATCCTTCTTGGATCCACAGACTACTCTACCCAAATTGACATGTGGTGAGAAGAGGTGGAAGTGTGGAAGGGAATGACTGCCCAGCCAACTGTCCCCTACTCATGGTGCCTTTCCTGCCCAGGGGTGTGGGCTGCATCTTCTATGAGATGGCCACAGGCCGGCCCCTCTTCCCAGGCTCCACAGTGGAAGAACAACTGCACTTCATCTTCCGAATTTTGGGTGAGGAAGTTTGTGCCTAAGGAACTGTGGGGACATGCAGGGAGGACCTGACTTGTCTTGTTAACTCATGTTTTGTACTAGGAACCCCAACTGAGGAGACATGGCCAGGCATTCTATCCAATGAGGAGTTTAGAACATACAACTATCCCAAGTACCGAGCTGAGGCCCTTTTGAGCCATGCACCCCGGTGAGGCTGATGGGTAGGTGGATTTAGGGGCCAGGGTATCTGAACTTAATGTAAAGTGCATCCCCTTATCTTTATGTTAGACTTGATAGCGAAGGAGCTGACCTCCTCACCAAGCTGCTGCAGGTGAGACCATCTTTTGAGGCCAACCTTAACGGGTGGGGTTCCAGGTGTTGGGACCTTCCCCATGGGCAGGCTCTGGAGGAGAGCAGGTCAAGAGACCTATGTGTTGAAAATACCAATATACTCTCTTTTGTCCAACTCAGTTTGAGGGTCGCAATCGGATCTCTGCTGAGGATGCCATGAAACATCCATTCTTCCTCAGCCTGGGGGAGCGGATCCACAAACTTCCTGACAGTGAGTGGAAATGGGGAATGGATGGCTCAAGTTGGAGTTGGGGAGCAGAACCATTGGGATTTAGGGTGCTAGTTTGTACCATCTCTAAGGCGGAAACAGCCTCGTACATGTGGCAGGTTGTATGTATTAGGAAGAAATTTTGTTTTTATCTTGGAGTCCTTCCACTTTTTATGAAAATTCTCATATAGTACATATAGTTGCAATATCCAAAAAAAGTCTACACTAGTTTTTGCGAACTAAACACCCATGTAATTTTCAGACCGTTCAAAGCCAATGGGAAAGTTCCCTTGTAGCTTCCTTATATTGTCTTTGGCATTCCAGGTCCCTTCCTGGAATAATAGAGCTAGCTGGGGGACTTTGGATTTGGGAGATTCTTTGTTGAGGTAAGGTTGTACTAGATGTTAGTGTTCAGGCTTCTGTACTGGCCTGTCCTTGGGGTTCTGACAGGAAGCGTCCTCAACTGCAGCCACTAAGAGCACCTCCTGTGCACATTCACTGTGTTCCCTTTAAAAGGGTCCTGCCCACCTCCCATCTTTTCCTCTTTCTGTCTCTCTTCTCATTTCTCTTCTCTTTTCCTACTCCTGTCACTAGAAGATAGTCTCCCCATTCCCCTCCCCACTTTTTCCCATTCCCTCCCCCACCATAGCAGCCCCTCCATGAGAACCCTACCGCATGGCATCTTTCTCTTGTCTTTTTTAAATTAAAAGACTAGGTAGCCCTGACTTGTGGTGGTATGGTTTTTTTGAGACAAGTATTACTGTGGATCAGGTAGACCTTAGGCTTGCTACATAGCTTAGGATGACCTTGAACTCCTTTTCTTGCCACCACCTTCAAGTGCTGAGATCAGGTTGCATGTCACCACACTTGACTTTCTTTTTTTGAGACGAGACAGGGTTTCTGTAGCTTTGGAGACTGTCCTGAAACTAGCTCTTGAAGACCAGGCTGGTCTCAAACTCACAGAGATCTGCCTGCCTCTGCCTCCCGAGTGCTGGGATTAAAGGCGTGTACCACTACCGCCTAGCCATACTTGACTTTCTATAAAGATTTTTAAAAGCCTCATTTTGGTGGGCTATTATTTTTATTTTGGGGGGGCAGTCTTAACCCTTTCACTGTACTGCCTAGGCTATCCTAGAATTGTGACAATCCTGTCTCGGACTCCTAAGAATTGAGATTACAGGTTTGAGCCACTATGCCTGGCTTAAAAATCTCAACACACAGCAGACAGAGGAATGTGAATTTCTGTAAATTCAAGGCCAGCCAGGTCTACATAGTGACTTCCAGCAGAGCCAGGGTTATAAGGACCATGTCCCAAAAATAAAAGTTCATTACACAAAAATTGATCACCTTTCATATCTACCCACAGAATTAATGATTCAATCCCAAGCCATCACCTTTCTTGTAGATTTGTAGGTAGTAGTTATATTGGCATTATCATACCTGATAAACTTAATACTATTTGTCTCAATGAGTAGTCCAGTAGTAAGTAGTCCATGTCCCATCTTCTTTAGTTATAGACATTTTGATAGAAGAAAGTCTTAAAGAAGGAGAAACTTGTTCTAATTCACAGAATGGGGTGGGCCATATAGGGTTTTCTTCTGGGTAGACACATGGATCATCTTCTACTTACATGTCTCTATGTCTCTTCATCCACAGCTACTTCCATATTTGCACTAAAGGAGGTACAGCTACAAAAGGAGGCCAGTATTCGGTCCTCTTCTATGCCTGACTCAGGTAAGTGTGACCCTCCCCATCCTCTTGCTCCACCTATCTACCTGCTTGCCCACTAATAGCCATTCATTCTGTTTTCTGCTGCAGGCAGGCCAGCTTTCCGTGTGGTGGATACCGAGTTCTAAGCCAAGTTCTAAGCCACAGACCAAGGTCCCAGCAGGCAGCAGCTGGGGGGATGCCACACCCCTCACAGGGCAGTCCCCATCTGCAGCCCTTCCTGCTTGTTGCCTGCCTACTTGCCTGAGCCACACTTTCTTACCAACTTGTCCCCTGCCACCTGCCTAAACACCCAACCACTGGCCTGTCAACCATTGGCCTGTCTGCTGGGTGCTAACAAAGCTCTCACCACTAATTTGCTTGATTGTGTCTCTGTCTTAGTAGTTGCCGGCGGACGGAATGGCCATGTCAGTCTCTCACATTGAGGCTAGGCCTTCCCCTCTTCATCACGTTCTCCCACAGGACCACTACCCTATGGCCAGCCAGAGGTTTGGAGCTAGCCCAGGCCAGGGCTCTTGATTGACTTTGACTAGAAGGTGGTGATGGCCTTGGGTCTGAGGCATCCTCTGCCTGCGTTTCCACCTGTCCCATCTGCCTCTGTATGGGACTTCTTTTTTGTTAGTTTCTTTCCTTATTTTTTGTTATTATTTTAAATGAGGTTCTCACTTTTTAATGCAATATCTCTGTATACAGACTGGTTGGGCCCTACTTCCTGAGTGTTGGCCTTCCTACAGTATTTTGTGCAATGAAGTCCCACTCCCAGCCTTTCAGAGGCAGGGACCCAGACCCTATTCAAATCCAACCATCACTAGACCCTGGGATTGACTATGGGAAAGCATGCCTCAGCCACTTTTCTTCCCATCTAGTGTCCCCAGCTGTAGGGGGACCTGAGAACTAGCAGAGACTGGGAGATGGACATTTTGGGGGTCTATTATTCCCTCCTTCAGTCCTGTAGCTGGGGCCTCCTTCCTTCTCAGGGTCTCCCCAGCCCAGCTCTGCCTAGCCCTCCTGCCCTGTCCTACTCGGTGCTGTTGAGTAGGGGCTCTGCCAGGAATTGACCAGCTTAGTGAGGAGCCATATATAGTATGTATATGAGCACAAGCAGGGGAACATGAGTGGGAGCTTGTGCCTGGTTGTTATATCCCAATCCCTGGGAGGGTAAAGCAGGGCAAGAACAGTCTCCTGGATGGATGGTTTGCTACTCTTCCTCCACCCTAAGCCTTGGGACCCTTAAATGGGGTGGGAGGGCAAGGGAGGGTGCCCTTCTAGTGGGGTTTGGGGGGATTGGGTTCCTGAATGCATCATAATCGCTGTATGAAATATTAAAAAAAAAGTCTAAAGTGAAAAGTCTGGTTGTAAATCATCATAAAGGCAAGGGGGCTCAAGCTCAGTTGATTACTGGGACCTTGGTGAATTCATATCTGGTCCCAAGAAGCATTGGGAAGGAGTTTCTGGAAGTGTGGTAGAACTGTGAAAAAAACTTTGGAGGAATTGCACATAGAACGGAAGTTTGAAGAAAGTTAAAAGGCCAATTGGGGAGATTTTTGACTACTGGTTATATAAAGGAATCCTTTAATATAGACTTTAAAAAGGTCAGTAGTGAGGTCATACTGCCAGAAGTTTGGACTACTAGTTTCTGGAAAGTCTTGAAGTTGTTTACATGATGAAGTTTTCAACAGCCTGAGCTTTGAACATGGTTCAGTTGGTAGCAAACATGCTTGCTATTATGTAATCTTGAAAGCCTGAGTTCAGGTTACCAGCACTCATGATTAAAAACCTGGGTGTAGAGGCTGGAGAAATGGCTTAGTGGTTAAGAGCCTGCTCTTCCAAAGGTCCTGAGTTCAATTCCCAGCAACCAAATGGTGGCTCACAACCATCTGTAATGATTTCTAGTACCTTCTGGCCTGCAGGCATATATGCAGACAGAATAAATTAATTTTTTTTAAAAAAAAAACCTGGGTGTAAAAAAAAAGCTGGGTGTAGTGGGCACTTACAATCTCAATACTGGGGAGTGGAGACAGGATCCCTGGACTTGCTGGCCAGCCAGCCAGTCTGAAAAACTGTTGAACTTCAGGTGAGGCCCTGCCTCACAAAGTGGAGAGTAATTGAGGATGGCATCCTGTTCATCTGGCTTCCACATGTAACTTTGCACAAAAAGTGGCACAGCCTTAATTTTCTCTGTCCATGAATAATACTCCATCCCACCATCTTGAGAAAAACCAAGAAGAGAAACAGAAAAGGGGTGGGCAAGGCCAGGCAAATGCAAGTATTAGCAAGCCTAGTGGCTATCTGGGAGCACAGCAGTGGTGACCTAATGAACCTCTTAATTACTGTCCTTGTAAGCACTTAGAAATCTCAATTTGAAACTACAATGGTTGTCCAGTTCCAGAGTTGGAAAAGTAGTACAGATGGTGGTAGTACACACCTTTAAATCCAGCATTCAGGAGGTAGAGGCAGACAGATCTCAAAGTTTGAGGCCAGCTTGATATACAGAGGGAGTTTCAGGACAGCCAGGATTACAAAGAAACCCTGTCTCAAAAAAAAAAAAAAAAAGTAGGACACATTCCTGTTCCCTGTCAGTTTTGTAATGGATAGGATGTCTACAAATTCTTCAGCAAACTTCCTATCCCCATTCTTGAAATTGGTATGGGGTGAGATTGGCCTCTGGAAGGCAAAGAAACCAGCTCTAGGATGGGGAGGAGCAGATTGCAGAGAGGCAATGAAAGGAGTCGATTCAGATGGGTTTAAAAATCAGCTATCTAGTTGTGCCAAACTCCCATTTCAATACTATGTTCTTTGGGGGTGGGGAGCAACTTAAAGGAGTTCACTCTTTTTTTCTTCAGGGCTCATGCAATGAAGTTGTGACCTCATTTGTGTCAGGTTGGATTAGAGTAACAGACACCCTACCATCACTATCAAAGTCCCTACAGAAGCTCACTGAAAATAAGAGGTAAATTAGATCATTGTGAGAGTGAGGAGAGTTGAAATGTGCAAGCAGGCATGTATGCACATGGGTTTATGTAGGTATGGAAAGACAAGTCTTAAAGTCTGTTCTTGCCTGTATATACTATTAATAGTGAAGGTAATCACTAAACCAGCGCCAAAGCCATGATCTTGTGAACTTTGTGGGTTGTTGGCAGGTGAGGACAGCCAAAAGAAAAGTAGGTAGAGAGGTACAGAGAATTAAAGTCATCACCAACCTATAGGGCTGAGAGCCCTAATAGAAAAGGGTAACGGCCTAGTAGGATGCTTCTCAACCAGAGACAACCTTCCCACTAGAGGACATCTGGTAATGACTTGGAGGTACACAGCATTTGTCCTGAGGGTTGCCACCGCTTTCTAGAAGTAGAGATCAGGGCACAGCTTAATATCCTGTAGTGCTTACCACAGCAAAGAAATTAAAATAGTGCTGAAGTTAAAGTCTAGCATAGAGCCTGGCACACCTGTAACCTTGTACTCCTAGCACTTGAAAGGCAGGAGGACCACCATGAGTTCAAGGCCAACCTGAGCTTCATTGAGACCCTATTTCAGAAAAACACCAAAAGAAGCCTTGGCACTTTCAGTGGTTCTCAAATGTTTTGGCTTCAGATTTCCTTTATATAAAGGTTGAGGACACCCAAAGAATTTTTGCTTATTCCAAAGTACTCTCTGGGTAATTCCATTATGTATAAAAATGAGAGCGAAGATACTGCAGAAATAGTTTTGACTTTATGAAACCCGGAGGTTTCTTAAGCTGATAGCCTGTGACCACAGTTTGAGGATCTGTCTGGCATTTAAAGTCACAGTTCTGCAACTAGGTCTGCACTGTTACAGCACATTCTAGCTGGGGACTAATGATTTGACATTTTTGGCTCTCAGTTTCTCCCATTGTTTATCATGAGCCAAAAAAATACAGTACCTGCCATCATCTAAACCCAACAAGTCACTTAAACCGCGCAAACTGGTATTATGCCTCCAACAAATGTGGTTTAGTGCATCAGATTTGTCTGATGAGTAACTCTAGTTCAGGAATCCACACTTTGGAGGCTGATGCAGTTGGATCAAGGCAAATCAGATGCCAGCCTGGGCTTCATAGAATTGGAGGCAGTTCTGGGCAGTTTAGCAAAGGTCCTGTCCAAAAACAGACAGACAGGCAGGCAGGCAGGCACGCACACACGCACACACACACACCCTAGTTCAGGAAGGCAAGCCTTCCAGTTGTTACGACTCTCAGGAGCTGGTAAACTTTTTGAATTTGAGTTAAAAGAAATTAGAGCCAGGCAGTGGTGGTACAGGCCTTTGATCCCAGCACTCAAGAGGCAGAGACAGAATCTCTGTGAGTTCGAGGCCAGCTAGAGAGCGAGTTCCAGGACAGCCAGGGATATACAGAAACCCTATCTCGGAAAAACTTAAACAAAAACAACGAAAATAAAAAAGTTAACTAGTTTACTCTATGTGTATGAATGTTTTCCCTGTATGCATGTATGTGCAACTTGTGCATTCCTGATCTCCTGGAATTGGTGTTTTGGATGGTTGTGAGCCACCATGTGGGTACTAGGAATTAAAGAGCAACAAGTGTCCTTAACCGCTGAACCATCTCTCCAGCCCCTACATTTGGTTTTGATGGACAAGAAAGGTAGTGCAATAAGGTAATTCTACTTAGGCTAACAAAAATGCTGCTTTCACAATAGGGGGCTGCAGTCCTCAACAGAACAAGGGGCAGGAAGAGTTGCCATAAGCATTCTGAGGCCCTAAACACATATTTTTGCTCATCTTGAAAACCTTTGGCCTCCACCTTCCCATAAGACCTTTTGACCTAGTATTAGAATTACACAAGGCACTCGTGTCTTAGTTCCAGACTAACTCCTGGCCCATCACCCAATTTCTGCCTAATTGCGACGTTTCCAAGATGGCAGTAGCCCCCTGATTGTTGGGGGGCTCTGCTTCCGTTTCCGGGACAGAATCCGGAAGTGCCAGTTGA